ATATATAATCTTAATATAAAATATTTTTAAGATATCTTATCTTTAATATACAATATCTTATCTTTCTATTTTTCTATCCAAAGATATAATATCTTAAAAATATTTTATATTAAGATTATATATATAAATTATTTTAGAATGGTAATTATTGAAATTATGGGTTTACAATTGTATATACAGTTGTATATATATTCTCTTTTAAAGTCTTTTATTAATACTAGATTTACGAAACCCGTCAATTTGACGGAAGGGTTGCTCCAATTATACGATGGTAACAGATTTAGTTAACATATATTAAGACTGTTAATATAATATATAATTGTGTTTAAATGAAACTAATCGTTAAAAAAAAGACACGTGGTTTCCTTTACCTGTCAATTTGACAGGTGTCCTTAGAAACAGGTATACAGATAGCGTCCGTAAACCTAGTGCTAATAAAGTCTATTAACTACATATATATACAAGATAAATGAATAAGATGTACTTATTGGTTTCGAATTTTTAAGTTAAAATATAAACAGTACAAATGAAATTTCCCAGAATTTTGTTAGAATATCGAAGTAAAAGGTATTGTAAAAATTCTCTATTTTCGTACATACTTAATTGTGCGTGGTTTAGGAGTGGGCATAACGTCAGACGTTCTTTCTCTTGATTCCAAATCGCTATCGTGATCATCGTCGTCGCTCCAAAAAGGATTTAAATTAATTTGTGGCGCGATTAATCGTCGTTTCGTTGGTCTTTCCATTAAAAACTGCGGATTAGCTTTGTTACTATTCCTCATAGCCGGCTTCGGAGGAATAGCTTCCTTCTCTCTCGCGATTTCATCTTCCGTTTTCTCGTCGTTTCCAAATGGATTGGTCAAGTCTCCACTACTCCCTGCCGTATTCGTAGTTGAAATAGATTTATCCATAACCTCTTCCTCCTCGTCGCATTTAAAAGGATTCAGATCTTCGGGATAATTTTTCACCGAATTAGCGGGCATAGTCTTTGCTTTAACATCATTCCTAACTGTCGTAGATACTTGACATTCACTATCCTTCGAATCCGCAGCAGGCATCGAAGGAGACAAATTTTCTGCAACTACTCGTTCGCGAGTGGGCTCCGATAGATCGGAGGAAATGGTGTGCACTGAGCTGTCTGCACTGAAACTTTTAACATCGTCTAATGAAACATCTTCTTGACCGATAGTTTGCGTCGTATCTGGAATCATCGCTGAACTTTCAATGATTCCTGATACCTCGTGCTTGCCATGTGCCTTGTATATCGATACTTCAGAGTCTCGACATTTCCCTTCATTTTTATCAACTTGATCCTCCTTCCTCTCGAATATCTTACGTCTTTCCTGAACTATGGACGGAGTACTCGTAGCATACGTGCGATCCTCGACCTGCTTCGATATTTCTTTATCGTTCCTTTGAGGCAGTGATTTCTCCCCGTTTATATCACGGGACGAAGAAGGTGACGCTTCTTTGAGCTTGTGTCTGTCAGAGTTCAATCGATGGTGCATATAGCCTTTCGTGTTTAACAATTTTTCGCTTACTGTTTCAATGACACCCCTTCGATCGTGAGATTCTTGCTTCAAAGAAGTGGCCACACAATCAAGCTCGCGTTCCTTTTTATTCTCTTTTCCATACTCATGGCTGACCGGAGATGTCAAACTCGTGTTTCCAGTTGTTGAATGCACGAGACCCCTTTTAACTTCGTTTCGACCCTCGTTCGTATACGTGTTACCAGTGACTTGTTCGTCGTTTTCCGAAAGCATTTGATTCGATATGAAATTTAGTCGCAGTCGAGAAGTTTGTGCTATGATGTCAGGAACGATGCACTCTTCGCGGTCTAATTTCTGGGTGAGGTCACGTTGTTTGCTTATGCTTTCTTCGGTCTTTAGGAGTCGAGTGTAATTCGAATCGATCTCGCTGCTTAGAATTCCGCTGTACGCAGTGTCGTCGCAATTTTGCAACGCGGGAATTTCTTCGTCTGGACATCTTTCGCAGCAATACTGTCCTTCTTCGGTTTCGTAATAGTTACCGATTGTTAACTGATTACTGCATCGAGCACAACGGAAGCAAGTACGATGATAAGCGACGTGGGATAGCACCAACTTTTCCGCGAGGAAAATTGGGAATCCACAAACCACGCAGGAATCCTTTCGCATACCCAGACACGACGCCTCCTGTAGAATTTCAAAAAATTTTAGTTCCTCGTCATAGCGTATACGTTATTTATTAGTATTAATTTAATATACGAATAGAACAAACAATGTTAAAATGAACATTATACTCTCAACACTTGAGCTTTCATAGCATTCGTATCGTTTACTATAGTTATCACAAGTTAAATGCAAGTCATGGTATAAAATTGGTTTAGAAATATCATTACGAAAATTTTTAACTTAGAATTTCTCTACGAATAATTAGATTCGTATTATCATTTGTGAGGTCCACTACAATTTCAGAAAAATTATTCCAATTGCAATGTGAGAACGATAGGGAACATTATTCGACTAGTATTTACCGAGTCTTCGTTATTTACAGATTATTGCATCTACATGTTGAATCTTTAACCCATTTGCATCGTGGCTCTACTTAAGGTGCCGTGTTCAGACATCAGCGACGTTCAACTGACGACTGGCCCGTATCACTGCGCGCTCCTCATAATGGCAGTTAAAAGGATTTTCACGACAAAAGTAAAACTTGTTAAGAATATAATGAACCGATGTAGATGAGATGCTCACAAAAGGGATCAAACGTGATTTGTGGCATATGAAGAATATTCAGCAACTGGTAATGGAGAAAGTCAGCTCGCGGATTAATCCGCTCTCGGTGATAGGCGATAGTCGTAGCTCGCGGAATATTCCGCGCTCGGTGATAAACGATTGTCGTGACTCGCGGAATATTCCGCGCTCGGTGATAAACGATAGTCGTGACTCGCGGAATATTCCGCGCTTGGATGCAAATGGGTTAAAATGCACACTGTGATTTGTATTTCACCCCTAATGCATATACAGGTGTCCTAGCATCGATGGGTCAACCGAGGAGGGGGTGATTCTACTTGAAAAAGCAAATCGAAAATAAAGAATAAATTTTTTTTCATTTTGAGCTTCGTTGTCAAGAAAATCGAATTTGAATATTCACTGAGTATGCGTGTACTTAACTATGGCTTACAAGGAGAGTGCAAGGCTACCAATTTAGTTGAAACTTTGCATATTGGTAAATTTGATTCTCCTGTTTATAAGTATATACCATCATATGAGCAGACACTCGACAGTTTTTTAAATATTCGTAATTAAAAATTGATTACGTCAATAAGTAGAGTATATTAACCCCTTGCACTATTTTTACCAGTCTGACTCGTGACGAAAATTTTAGACCAAACTTGAATATCACGAGTCAGGCTCGTGGTTTCATTTCATGCCAAACGTGGATATCACGAGTCTGACTCGTGATCAACATTTCGAGCCAAATATAAATATCATAGTAGTTTCTCGTTAATTCTATAATATTTAATGTCAATGTATTAAGTCTTGAAGTACCGTTTCAGCGGCATAACTAGTCCCATAGAAAAAATACTATAGTAACAAACTAATACCTAAGGTAAGCGCGATTGGACATTGACGTTTGGCCACCACATGCTCCAACCCTACCTGACGTATGGGGCCATTATTTATCTTGCCTTCCCCAAAACTTCCAACTCTGCTTTAAACTTCTACCCTTATGCTTCAAATTCGCAAACTGCCACCAGTTCCACTAAGTAATTGCAAAATAATTAACCCTACTCTAGCTTTTTACTAAACTTTGCACTCTAAACTTTGCAGAATTCTCGAAAGGAAAGACAAGACAACAATCTGAAACAAGTCTGTAGCGACCAACGTTTGTACTCTCATTGCTAGATGGAAAACGGAAGTTCGAGGTTTCTCGCAAGTCCTCGGTGAACCCTCGACTCTCATAAATACAAATTCCTATGCTACCTAAGTATCCCCCGTCTAAGGTAGGACTTGTTAGAAAGACCCTGCACCTTACCCACTTAAAACCAAAAGCTGTATAGTTTTCTTCGTGTCTTTCTATGCATAGACAAACACGCATACTAAGTTTGATTTTAGATCGCGAGTACTTCACGTTGGAGCCATCGATCTCATAGTCTAAGTTTTCATTTGTAACCCTCTTGTACGTTTCGGTTCTTTTATATGTGTATGATGGTATCTATACCATCCCTTATACGCATCCCTTCCTTGCGTCCTTCTATCAGCTACCTATCATAGCAAAAGAGAGCTACCAAGAATACCAATCGGCAGCACCATAGGAACCACAAGACAAGAAAAGTAACCCCGTGGGGAAGGACACCCATCCCCTAAACTCTTAGTCACTAAAAGAACCTAGTAGCTGATGAATGCAGGCCAACGTCAGTGAAAAAACAACATTCTCATTCCTACTTTGACTCTAAGAACCAATTCGTCATCTTCACCCCTCCAGAAATTAAAAATAATGTAAGAATTGCTTAGAAGGTAGGGCCTGTTAGAGAGGTTTACTGACGAGTTCACTAGCAGACCCAGGATGAAACGCATGCCTTCCTTGCATCCTTCTACCCTACTACCTATCATAGCAAGATGGCCATCAGGATATCAATCAGCAACATCATAGGAATCATTAGAAATCAATATAACCCCTGTGGGGGAACCTTCACAAGTCAACTCTCGTAGAACACATATAGAATTCAAATCTACTCTCGACTATACATGATCTCTCGATGACTATACATGATCCTTCGTCATCAAGGCGTTGTCCATCACACAACACAAAAGAAATACAGTCCACCAAACACTTGAAGAAACATACAATTTCTACTTAGAGCTAATCAAGACCGACCTAATGACGATATATATATATCAAATCAATATATTTCAAATGAATATCTAAAAATTCTACTATATTCAAATTCGAGTCTATTTATCATTCTGCACATCACACCAAATATTAAATTGTCCAATTACATTCATTAAGAATACTCATTCAGATCAATTAACGAGTTCTAATAACAATGAATTGAAATCATTGACAATAATAATGTTGGTAACTGATAAACAAAGAGGAAAAGAATATTTCCTTACCAAACACTTCAAAATACAATTATTCGAACATTCAATCACTTGAACGTCATCCTTACTTCAATGACTGATATGAATGACTTTTGTGTCTCACTTTACCTCTAGTATGAAGTGTAACTACAGTATGCTACTGTTAATAGTGATTTATAAACCTGTTAAAGTGATAAATATTATTTTTATCGTATTTTGGTTATAATCCTAGATACTTTAATTTTAAATTATAATAGCAATCTTCTTCGGCAGGTCTATCATAATATATCAAATTTTTACCCAGGACTTTCATATTATGGCAATAAAACAGCATTAAAAATTATATAACAATTTAGCAGTTGACGATATTTTGGATCACCTATTGGTTAAGCAAAATTTTTATTCTGTAGAATTTATTTTTGGAAGACATTTCGCGTAGAAATGGATAAATTTCGCTAGCATAATTTGCGAGATTAATTTGGAAAAATTCAACAAGCGACGAATTAATATGTTTAATTATTACATTACAAGTCTATACTGCAGTATTTGTGTTACACGATATTAATGATAAAATATCGTTATAGATAACGACCTATGTTTGCGGACATAATGCACGAATTGACTGTGTTCGTTTGGATATTTAATAAACAATTATTCGGAAATAAATAATTCTCCACGAATGCTTTAGTTTAACGTAATAGCAATGTAATAATGTAATTAATTAATTTGGTTGATATGTATTAACTCTCCGACTACTGAAGCTCATAATCCTGTGCCGGGGTCACTTCTGACTTACACGGATATTTCATTAATCATATTTAGGGTCGCCTAAGCGGATCATTGATACTAACTAACACAGAAGTCCTCACCAATACTGTACCAACACAGTGACAGACAACCGACTCATATAGGAACATGTACTGTGCGTTCGAGAAAAGAAGGCACAACGTATTTACATCCTCACGGCTGATTAACTCCACTGACACTCCCCTGATCACAGGAAGTGACCACTATTGATCGAAAATGGAGGATGTGGAGGATGTAAACACGCTGTGCCTTCTTTCCTCGAACGCACAATACTAGGAACGTATAGGAATAAATAATAATTACACGAATAATAAAGTTATATTTATTATACATTTATGTATTATTATCTCCTGCAAGTTTACATATCTTGTACAAATTGAGCGAAAGAAGACAAGGAAAAAAGTAATAAAAAAAAAGAATAATAAAAACAGTAAATTAATAATAAAAATAGTAAAATATTAAAATAGTGTTAAATACTAAGATCTAAATGGAAAATACAAAAATAGTACAATCTATTGAACATTAAATACTAAAATACAATGCTAAAATACTAAATCAATAATACAAACACTAAAATATGTAGTATCGCAGGTTTTCAACCCCGTGTACACGTAACTTTAGATTAGAAAGTCACCGAGGGTTCGAGGGCCAGGTGGGTCGGAAAGGCCCTTAGCACGACAATATTTGCTCATGTTGGGAGAGGCATTAGAAAACGTGAGCATGTTGGAAAAGGTATATGAAGAAGGTTAAGAATGATCGGGATCAATTTTTGGTACGCAGTTCTTGGTGCAGTTCTTGGTAGCCAGTTCTTGGTGTTGAGCTCGTTGTAGACAGTTTTGGTTGTGAGCGGTTAGTTGTTGCAGGCTGAGTTGTCATTGAGTTGTTAAGTTGAGCGCTGTCTTAAGTTGGGAATCGATATAGATTCGTGTAAAGAGATAATTCGTGTGTTTAATCATCACTCACACACTGTTAATTTATTATTGAATAATAATAAATTATAATACATAATTATTTAATAATTAATACATATACCACCACCAATCCGTCTCTCTACAAATATAAAATAAACTTTGAAATAGAAAATTACTTCAATTTGCTGCACACATCTTCATTCCTCAGAGCGTTATTAGAAACTGATTTCTTTTGTCTATAGTCTTCGTCACTTTGACACTTTGGCGGACAGGTGTTAGCCACGTTAGTGCGATCGTCACTTTTCAGCTCCCATCACTGTGTGCGTTATTCCATTCGTGTGGCTGTCAACATGGGTTAAAAATTAC